TTTTATCAAGAAATGAAAAGTGGAAATACAAGGGCGGAAGGATTTGTTGAGATTTGAAATGATGTATTTTCTTACAAGCCAAACAATGAGGTGATAGGTATAAGAGCATAAGACACATTACCTTTTGTAGGCAGGTAATCATGTATAGATGTATAGGTGTACGGTACGTGTAATAATTAGAATCAATGATAACTAATATATAATATAGGGTAAAATACAAAAACCTCCCGTGAAGTTTTTGACAATTATAAAAACCTCCCCTGTAGTTTAACTTTAACAAATACCTCCCATAAAATTTTGAAAAATCAATAGAAATCTCGGAAAACATATAAAATTACAAAATTACCCCTGACTAATTGTCAGGAAATCATCGAAAATATATTAAAATTCTAAAACTGCTCTCATTCAATTAACATCACTCTTGAGATTTTTGAACCTCTTTTCAGAGCAAAAGAATAGAGTTTAAACCCTAACACCACTAAACACTTGCATGGTACCATCGTTCAAAATATTCCATTCACCTAAGAATATTTCCCATTTTCTTGAAACCGTTTTTCACCAGCCACTGTTCTTCATTGTCTGCAATATCTAGTTCCCCCCTCGAGCAAATTCTCACCAGAGCTTTTTTTTTTTTCATTTCTCTTGGTATGAGGATTGCATTTCACAAATAGAAAACGGAGACTCTGCTACCCAGAGTCTCCGGCATTTCACCAAGGTTCTCATGGACAAGAAAGCAATTCCTCTTTTATGCTGTAATTTGTTAACATTTTCTTTTGAAGGTGTTACTAACATCATTGGTGGCTTGTAAATTGAGTAACTAGCAACCAACCGATAAGAAATTGGGGACCAAATAGAGTTATGCTTCATCGAATCTAAAAGCAAAATAATAAAATCACAAATTCATTGAAGCCCACAAAAACCAAATCAGAGATTCAATAAATGACATTTTGTATGACACCAAATGTGAGAAAAAAAAATGCATTCATGCATTCAGAAGTGTCCATAAATACATAAAACCCAAAAGCAAAACAAGGGGAAAAGTTGAACAGTGTAACAATTCTTTTTATTTCTGATATGCAATCAGACCCAAGAATTCATCATTTGGCATTTCCGCTAGAAAACCAGTATCGTAAATCCAAGATGTGATTAAAAGATTAGGCGGCCTTTAAGTTGATTAACACACTTCTCAGCCAACCTTCCGATGAAGAACAATCACCTAAAACAGTTCACCTTCTCATCTATAGCTCAAGTCCAAATTTTATCTGTGTTTTCCTGTGCATAAACCAGAAACGTTGCCTCACTTCTTCACCAGACAATCTTTGGTGGTCAAATGATGTTTCCCTTCTTGATTGGAGTAAGTTTCAGGGCTGATAGAGTCAACGGTGGTTGCTACCTTTTCTTTAGTTGATGGAGTTTTAATAACGGGAGATTGAAAGAGGAGAAAATGACAAATATTCTTCCAGGGTTCCTCTCTTCAAGAATGGGAGATTGTAAGAGAAAGAGATCGACAAGAGGGTAGAATGGGTATTTGAAAAAAATTGATGTATTGGTCATACATTTTCCATTTGGATTAGTGACGGAAGGRAGGCTTTTATTGATTTTTTCAAAAGTTTATGGGAGATATTTGTTAAATTTAAACTATAAGGGAGGTTTTTATGATTGTCAGAAACTTCAGATGAGGTTTTTGTATTTTACCCTATAATATATTTATATATTATAATATTATTCTATTGAAATTCGAATATTTATAAAATCATATCGAGGTAAATTGGAATCCGATTCGATTACAGTAATTATTTTCGAATATCGCTTACATCCCTAATTGTAGTCAGATCCGAAACCTTTGGCTATAAGCTATAGGATATTACTAAAGAAACCTACTATATTATAAGTTACATTATAAGCATACACAAGCTATAATATAGGTTATTTAATTAGAGATCTGTGCCCTAATTAAATTGATAGATATAGGCATTTATTTGTTATTATTATTTAATATTTAATTTTTATTACAATTTACTGTTATTTTCTGATTTTTAATCAATAATTATTGAAATTTATTAGAAATTAGTGTAAAATTGTCAAACAATAGTGTAATTAACTATTATTTTTTATTTTTAATCGTTAAGTATTTCAAAAATTATCAAAAATTAGTGTAATGTATTGTAATTTTGGAAATTGAAATCAAAATGTAGTAATGCATTAAGATAAATTAGTACAATTTTGGAAAAGGAAATCACTGATTAATATATTTATATTGGAAAATATAAGATTATAATTTTGGAAAGGGAAACTATTGACTAACATATATTGGAAAATAAAAGACAAATTAGTGTAATTTTGTAAATAAACTATTTAATAAGAATTTAAAAATAAATTTCAATAATTTTTCGAAATTACACAAATGTAATAAATTTTCCATAACTTTCATAAAATTATATTGTGGAAAATTATAGATAATTTAGTGTGCTTTTGGAATTTCCTCAAACGATAAATTAAGGATAAATCACTATTGGAAAAGGAAATTATTGATTAACTTATATTGGAAAAGGAATTTATTTCCTCAAAAGATAAATTAGTATAGTTTTGGAAAATTTTGGAAAATGAAATTATTGATTATCTTATATTGGGAAAAAAGATGAATTAGTGCAATTTTGTAAATAAATTATTTCAAATGAAATAAATTATCTAATAACAATTTAAAAATAAATTTCAAAAATTTTTGAAAACCACACAAATGTAATAAAATTTCCAAAATTTTCATAAAAATAAAGTTAATACAAATTAATACATGTTTATTAATAAAACAACAAAAAGTAAGAAATTTTAATTTCAAAATTAAATCTTATAATTTGATATCCACCTAAATTTCATTTAAAAAAAATGAAATGATACTGCAATTTTGTTGATAAAAATACAAAATAATAAAAATTTTATTAGTTTTAAATTTAATTAGAAAATTAAAAACGCTCTTTCTTGGGGGTGCTTGGGTGGATTGGGTCGGGTTGAGGGTCAACCAAACCCAACCCTAAGTCTCAAACCTCGAACTCAAGCTTGGCTCAACTCAAGATTAAGCATAAGCTTACCAACCCAGCCCCAACCTGAGCTTAACCCAACATCACAGATTAGGCTTGGGGCTTAGGCATGTTGAGCTTTATAGTCCAATTTCTATGTAGAATAGATTGGTAATATGTAGATATGTATATCATAAAATGTTAGAATGACTCATATTAGGTTAAATTGGGCTTGGATTACTCAAGGCTTCAACCCATGCCCAACTTGAGTTTATGTTAGGCTTGAGTTTTTTGACCCAAAACTAACTTGAAGTACGAAAAATTAAGCCCAACCTGTGCAAAAGCTTTGGTGAGACAGATCGGGCTCAGGTTGGGACCACCAAAGTTGCACCACTAGCTCCTTTTGCCTCAAATTCTCTAAATAAGACTTTAAAATGTACCCTTTGTAGATAATCAATCTTAACCTTCCATAATGGAATCTTCCAAACCTCATGCAACACCACCTCTGATTCCTCAAATGGAAAGCCTTGGAAAAACTCACAATTCAAACAGTTCAAACAGAAAGTAAATAACCAGTCAATTAGCGAGAAGTCACTAAACAATTGCACACTCACAATTCACAAAAAAAAAAAAAAAGAAAGGGATAAGTGGACTCAATCCACTTCAGAAATCTGAAATTGCAGCCCCCTCCTAGTCTACTAGTAGCCCCTACCCCTATAAACCGCATCATGCCTGTGAATTTGGCATCAATCCATGGACAGTATTCATTTGACCTGTACGGTGGGGGTCAGATTTCTGAGGTGGATTGAACCATAAGGCCCCGTTCGCTTTTCAGTAAGTTACTTACCCGGGTAAGTGCATTTATCCATGTTTTTTTTATTTCTCATGTAAATAAGGCAATGACCATTTTAGCCATAAAAATCTATTATTAAGAATAACATTTTTGTCCCATTCAAGTGTTGGCAACTTTCCCCATAAACTTTCTCCTGATCCCCACATAAATTTGTAAAAAGAACATGAGATTTTTGGTCGATGGGAACCAAAATCCCATTGACCAACTTTCCCCTCTCAAAATCTAAAAAAAGAAGTCCCCCTAAAAACCCCAAAAAAAACACAAACCTAGACTAAACAAAAGACAGCTACCTAAAGAAAACAACAGACCAAAACCCAGGACCAGGTGAAAGCCCCCACCCAAGGGAAAGACCTCCAACGGAGTAACCAACCGGTAAACACTTCAAACTAATCAGTTGGGTTTTGATTCTTGGTCTCGCAAAGATTATGGGTTGTATTTGGTCGGATTTACTCCATTTTAATTTTCTGTATGTGACTTCTACCAAAAAAGTTTATGGATGTGGCTATTCTCTTAATTGTCAACATAGTCTAAGGTACTATCTTACTGAGTTACTGGCACGGTGATGGCATCATCCACGTGGAGAGAATACAACAACAGGATGTCATCCTTGGGTAAAAATCACACATAATAGAATCTTTTAATCTTCAAGACTGACAGAATGCAGTGAAGAGAATTGAATGACACGGAATAGAACGGAATGACGCGAATATGATATTTTTTTTTGCACAGATTATAGCAAATTGAGATGATTATAAGGTCCAATGGCCGCCTTATTAATTTTAATCATTAGTCTTTTCTCATATTTGAAGATGGCAAAGGTTGTTGCAGATTGTAATAGAAGAAAGGAAAACAGTGAAGAAGAGGGCCTTCTGAAATGGGGGAGGATTAGAGATGAGGAAGAAAAGAAAAAGGTGGATTTCTTTTTCCACCTTGCATTTGAAGGCATTGGCACATTCAATTTCACCTCCAATTTCAGAAGAACCAGAAGGATTTCTGCATCCAGTACATAGCTTTTTATACCACTTACCTCATCCAGTAATATGGGTTGAAGTAGGGCCTGAAATCTCCCTCACTCCATGCCTTACTAACCAGCCTGAAAAACTTCACAAATTGCAGGAAGAAAGGATCATTCCTCTTGGAAATTTCTTTCTTTTATTATCAGAGTTTTTGTAAAGATTACAGCCATTTAATGAGAAATATACAAAAAAGAACGTTAATATAGACAATGTAATTTAAGGAAGAAATTTACAAAAAAAAAATGAATATTAATGAAAAAGTTTTGGGGATGGATAAGAATCTCGTGTGAGAAACAAATGAGATTGCTAGCATGTTGCCCATCCCTTGTTATGATTCAGACGTGAAAAAAATTTTAAGCTCACTGAGTCTCAATAGAAGTATGTTGATGAGTCTGTCACATTTTGTGTGTCTCTACAAAGAATTGAACGAGCTTCAATAACTGAACGAGGGGGCTCAAGATCTTTCTGTTGCAGTGCATTTCCTTGCAGCCTCTGCATTTGAGATGCAAATGTATCATCCAATACCTACAACAGAAGACAATATAACTTAAGCCGTTAGTCTGAGCTTCTGCTGTTTGTATAAATATGAGTTTAATACTCTGGGAATTTGGTGGGACAATGACATAACAAATGGGGAATTTTGGTTGTATTTGCGGGTAGTAGTAAAGAAAACTATCACGTGAAATGATTGGGTTTCTACAACCAAGGCACCCTGCCAATTTGGTTGGTGGTTCACAATTCAGATTATAGTTGTACTATGAATGCAACTTTTAACTTTTTCAGTTCTCAATATTAAGAAATGATTGTTGTTTTGTATAATGCAATTAATCACAGGCAATAAAGATACTTACACCAAGAGCATAATAAGAACCTTTGTAACAGATTCGGTTTTCTTTCCTGCTCTCAAGAAACTTCAAAACAGTCTATACAAGTAAAGCATATTAGAAAACAGCATCTGAGATTTATAAGGAAGTAACTTCATACATCTTGGAAAAAGAGTTAAAACTATGTACCTGGCCCATCCTATCCCAAAATCCACGACAAATTGCTACAAATATCCTGCTTGAGAAGACCTCATGCAAGTTTGATATGGAGTCAATGAGTTGTGAACTCAACATTTGCATCCTTCCGCGGACCTCAGCTTCACCATCTGCTTCCTTTGTTTCCTCTAGGATTCTTTTAAGCCGTGTGCCTCTATTGGCTTGTGTCTGTAATGGTCATTGATCTCTTTTAGCTCTACTCTTCTTTGTATCAATGGGAGATAATTGCAAAGTTTCAAATTTTAAATCATCGTGCATATATAAATATAATCAAGAGGACTAAATAGGCTTTAAGAAGTTGAAGTTGGGTCTCCATCTCTTCTCTTCTATATCTTTGTAGCTCACATGTAATTTTAGATGTTTGGAAAGTAAAGGATCAAAGTGTGTGTGTGTGTGTGAGAGAGAGAGAGAGAGAGAGAGAGAGAGGTAACATTGACAACTGACATTACTAATTAGCTTCTCTACAGTTGCTTGCATGTAGTTTTTGTATTTTGTTCTTAGCAGGACTGTAATGCCATTCATATGCTCCCCAAAGAGTGTCTTCTTGTCTCCAGTGACAGGTAGATAGGATGCCCAAGATTTAAGAATATCTTCAAGTCTGCAGTGTAGAACATCAAGAATTCTTTTGATAGTATTCAGGAACGTTCCCAACTGCAACATCAGGAAAAACCCCATTAATAGGTACCCACCAAACCACATAAATCAAACTTTGGAATGAAGTTCTTCTAAAATATGTCTAACTTGAACTAACTTTAAGGCAACATAAAAGCTCGTGTGATTAGAAATGGAATATAGAGTATTGATAGCTTACTTGATTAGGAACAGAATAGAGTGTTACAGATTGTCTTCTCGTGAGTTTCTGTACATGCATTCCAAGCTTTTTGGGGATGCTATCTTTTAATGGCATTAAGATGTCACTGTACTGCTTCTCCAGAGCTTTGATGACTGCTCGTTCCACAATGGCGATGGCCTTTCAAACCAAAAATGTCTCAAGTAACAGAAAAGGTTTATTAAAATAAAAATACACCGTGCACAAAGATGAACAACATGCAAAATTGTATCACTCCTATGAATGCTTGGTACTACAAAGTAAATCAGGGAAAGTTAACAATCTGGTTAAATATGAAAAAAAAAAGATTAAACATAAATGGTTGGAAAAAAGGTTGGTCATAGTGAATACATGATTAATATGTTATTTTTCAAAAAATATGGAATGAAAATTCGGCATGTTTTGTATGTAAACGTATGCATAACTATTAAAAGATGCATATTAACAAATATAATCAAATTTTATATCATAATTATCATGAAATAAAAATTATCCTAAAGATACAGAAAAAGATCCGCGCATTCACATGTTATATTTTTTTTATTAAAATTCCCATATTTTCCATATCTTTCAGTAATTCATCATCTAATATGTTTTTGGTAAAAATAATGTACTATGGACACTTACATTCTCTAAAATCAACGAGTATTGGGGCCATCTGTTGATCACCACTTCATACTCATTTATTGTATCTTTAATTTTCTCGTACATATCCTCAGCAAATGGTGAAGTGGAATGATTTGTAGTTATTCCACACCATGGTGCCTGTGATGGGATGTTTTAATCACATATGGGATACACAATTGAATCACACACACACACACACAGAGAGAGAGAGAGAGAGAGAGAGAGAGAGACCTTTTCTGCCTTGCACAGATCCAGGAGATAAAGTTGCTTATCTTGTATCCAAACCATTATGTAATTGTGGAACAAATTTATTGCATCTACACCCCCATGCACATGGCTGATGCAGAACAAAGTTAGTGCATTTATAAGATAAAAATAACATTTTTTTGTAATTACTAAATTCCATTGAATAACTTATCTAATATGTTTTGTTTACTTCTCAATATACAAATCTTTTTCTTCCCTTTGCCCCAGTATTTTCTCCTTCCCCCTCCTCTTTCCTCCTTGAAATACGAGAAGTGTTTCTCTAACAAAATACATTCTGATCAATCTGAAGTTTCTCTGACAAACCTGATATTCCATGACTCAAGATCCCTCTCAAAATCAGCAGTTGCAATCAAAAGTTCTGTTACATGTGGTAAGGGGCTTGCTGGAGGCCAAGCTGCAAGGAATCCTCTTATTCTGTTACACAACTCAGTGCTGTAAACAGAAGCTGCTATGTTTGATAGGTCTATCGAACTGGAAAGAGGACAATAAATGTCAGTAAACCAGAAGATATAGAATGTCCTGTTTCATAAATCCTCTTATTCTGTTCACATGGTTGCCAGTTTTTACTACCGAAGAATTCAGAGTATCAAAATTCCTACTCCAAGATGATATTAAATTAACTAGTTGTAAAAGTCTACATATATAAATCACATTCGTGAACATAAAACTGGAATACCTTGGAAGGACATGCTGATTATGAATCTTGATGTCTGCCTTGATCTCATTACTTATGTTTATGCACAAGTTTTTCATCTTGAGGTATGCTGTGGAGATGGTTACGTGGTCCATAAGGAAACCCTCACTGTTGGTTGACATGAATTCATCAGTCTCTACCATGTGTCTCCTACACCTCTTTGTTGCAGCTGTCTGTAAACAAATTTCATTTGATTAGATTCTCTTCTTTTCACTAATGACGAGCAAGACTACCCATGGAAGATGATCAAATCAAATGACTACTACGAACATTAAGTATCTAATGACCCTGACAGAAAATTCTAATTCCTTTATAGACCTAGTGGCAAGTGACTAGGTCAATATATTGATCTAATTCTATTTCCTTTAAGTGTCAAGTGACTACCATGGTCTTGATTATTCCATCAGGGACAACTCCGTTTGATCCTATAGACCTAGTGGACCCTGCTTATAACACAAATTGAGGACTCCCTTATGTTTCTCGGTCATCCAATAGTCAATATCTTGAGATCTATCAGATCTGATTTAAACATACCAAGAAATAACATACCAAACATATAATAACCCAATAAGAATTAAGTCCGGATTGTGTTGTCTATTTTGATCCTAGACCTAGTGGACCCTGCTTATAACACATTTTGAGATCTATCTTATCTGATTTAAACTTTAGGCAATGCCCATCCAAGACATAGCATACCAGGAATACAGCAAGAATTAAATTAAGATTATGTAATGACCCCAGATAGCTGGGACCAATATTGGGTAATGGGCCTTTTTCATGATCCATCTCTACATATGTATTTATATATTTTTTCATCTCCTGCACATAATTTACCTGTAAATAGTTTCTCAATATTGCCTGTGCTTCTTGGGCAAGTATATCATGAAGAAGGGTGTATACTTTCACAGCAGGAACTAAAGCTGGAGCAGCAGAATCCACTATTGGGCCAAGCACATCTACTAACCCAGTCAGAGAGAGCTCATCTAATGATTTGTAGTTCTCGAAAACATTTGCTAAAAGATTCTCTACTTGAGCTTCACAGTCCAACAATATACTTCTCTGCCAAAAAGAATAAGTTGAAAAGGCTATTGTATTAGTATTCAATACTCTATCTAAGCTTTTTTTTTTCTTTTGTTTTGATAAATGGCAATTGTATTAAAAGGACAAAGAGGATCTCTCAATGAACAAAAGATATATAGTGTCAACTATTTGAAGAGAACATCTATAACAACTTATTTTTTGAAGAAGGAAATTTTGTCTTGATCAAAAAGAGAAATGATGACTGCAGGGCTTTTCCATGTACAATTTCAAAATACAAGATAAAGGGAGCAGTTATAACAATTTCAGGAACAAGAGAAAGGAAATTGCTATAACAATTTCAGAAGAGGCCCAATTTATATTTCAAATTCATTGCTATTTATGATTGGCTATCAAAATGGACATGCCTAAATCCATGAAATTCCTTTAAGATGCATGCCCAACAGATCATAGTTCTTTCCACCTCCATCACCACCTCCTTGCTGGTAATGTGGCCTTCAAAGATTCTACTATTTCATTCAGTCCACCACCCAATATAATGCAAAGGGCCTTCAAAGATTCTAAGCCTCTATAATTAGGTGGTGGAATGAATTCTCTGATGTTGGTATAAAATAAATTAGTCACTGTTAAGAACTTATACCAAATTGACATATCATTTCTCAGTTCTCATAGTAGTAAGATTATAAATTGAATAATTTGGAGAAACATTTTAATGTGGTTAGGCTAGGTTCAATCTGCATGAGAGCTTAGACCTCAGATATGAATAAAAACCACATTGAACCAATAAAATTGGCTAGAAAGCTAGTTTTCTCCTAAACCACTGTGCCACCTCTACTCAGGTGGATTAGAGTGCTGGATCCCCCCAACTGGGCTGGATTTTTATTTTCTTCCTAGATCATCATCATCATTGTCATCTATGCCTTGTCCCAACTATATGGGGTCGGCTTAGGTTAATCTTAGATCTCCACCCAAATTGTTGTTAAGAATAAGAGCCATTACTTTGTACAATGGTAAAATCTTCAGCTGACAGGCCTGAGAACATTGATTCGAGTCTGAGAATGGCCACTTTGTGTAAGAAAATAACAAAGGAGATTTTGGACCAATCAATACATCAAAAAAGATTGGGTTAAACTGAGTTATCACTTGACTGAGTTTCTGCTGATTTTCAAGAAATATACTTGATACGGAAGATATCCTCCACATATTCAAGAAATATACTTGTCACAGATCACATCCAAGGAAATGATCTATTTTCTTGGCGACTCTTTAGAAATCTATATTTTCTGTTTCATGTTTACAGATGATTAAATGTATACACAAATATTGTGTGTAAATAAAAAAGTTGGGCAATAGAAAGGCTGACCTCTTGCTGAGTTAGACTTCTCTCACTTTTGGCCTTTACCACAGGAAGAAGTAATTCATAGACAATCTCCAAGCAATCTTTTGTAGGTGTTGCCACATTCATGACATATGAAAGGTACCTACAATGAAATTAAAAACAATATGAGAATTTGTAGTTTGGTACAATGACTTCAAGTTATATGTGGAAGGATTAATTTGACAGATTTGCATATAAAAATACCTTAGCTTAGTATATGAATCTGAAACTTCATAGTAGTTGGAAAATTCAGTTATCAGCCACTTCCAAGGTCCATCTAACCTCAAGTTTCGGGGATGAAAATGCTGAGCTCGCAAAGCAGCTTCAAGCACCAAATCATAAGCAAGAGTTTCCACAACATGTCCACCCTGTAATGTATAAACATGGAGAAATATGATTGGTATATGGAATCTTGACATGAAGCGGAAGATAAAACTAGGATATACATGTATTAAAACTTAATACATATCAAGAGAAAGAAACTTAGCCTGTAATATCTCCCAAGTGCACTTTGACATGATTCTATACATCTATGTCAAGTTTAAGTGGAGCACAAAATACCTGCTAGAAGCACTATTTTTGTGGACATATCACCAGAATCAGAATTCAATGTGCCTGGAAGTCTGACTCAGCAAGCCGAAAAAATAAGGACTTTTATGAACATGTCTAGAAGCAAGTACTGACTATTAAAAATACTCCATATTTTTTTGAATTTTAACATTATAAACCAATAGAAAAAGAATGTCTTTGTTATTCTGTATTTGGCAAGAGTGCTAAAAGCACATGTATATCGATGTAAACGAAAATTTGGTCAGAAAGTGAGAATGCAAACTTGTTTTGGTTTGCAATATTTTGTTTGATTTTGACGGGTACAAACACAAATTGTCAAGACTGGAATCCACCATTTTAACATTGACCAACTTTGAGAGTAAAAGTTCACTTCAATTTTTTGGAAGCAAACTTTGCTCCCAGTTTCAATACAAAAATGTT